AATATCGTTTATGCTTAGTTCATGTTAACTGAAGTAGTTAACTAATGAACCTTATTGTAAAGTGTTGCCCATTTTTTTAATGCTTCTAGTTAACTACAACCCTGGTCACATCTGAATGCAAGTTTGCAGTGGATTGTGAGGGAAAAACCAATGACATGAGGCTTTTTGACCTGGACATGAGAGCTGAAGGTCAAGTTCAACCTCCAAAGCGTCTCCACTTATCCCAATGGTAACACTTCTTTTTCCAATTTTTCCCAGAATTCCTTCTTTTGATTCTCAGATGACTTTTATTTCCCCCCGTCATGATCCTTTATGTTTCAAATGATCACAGAGCGTCCAGTGGAATCCAGTTAATCATGTCTTTCTCCCTGCAGATCCTCGAGAATGAACACCTGCTCTCCTCTTGTGTTCTTCATGTCATCCAACACCTCGGCGTTACACCTGAAATTAGAGCACACACATCAGCCCCCAGTCAACTCCACCGGGACGAGCCGTTAGCTGCACACACACACACAACACACACATCAGCCCCCAGTCAACTCCACCGGGACGAGCCGTTAGCTGCGCAGAGTCATACACACACACACACACACACACAACACACACATCACACACATACACAGTCACACACTCACTCTCTCTCTCTCTCTCTCTCTCTCTCACACACAACACACACACCTCTCATTCATCCATCACGCCGACACACACACACACACACACACACACAGACACACACACACACACACACACACACATGGATGCTGAAATCACAGAATGCTTCAATCACTGCAACGCACGAGTAACATCAGCGCTCGGTTCACTCACCCTGGCGAACTCCACCGGTTTGGGCAGAAGGCACATGACCATGACGTCGAAGCGCACGTCACACACCGTCTTCAGCCACTTGGTGACGAACTGAGGCTTGAGCTTCTCCACCAGGCTGCCCACCTCGTCGTCCATCATGTAGGCGGTGGAGTGGAACCACTGGAACACCATGCTGACCAGCCGCGCCAGACTCTCGGTCGGCGTGTTCTCGCTCGGCGTGCACAGACTCACCTGATCGAGTGTGTGCTCGTTAGTTTACTCGTTTACAGAGACATCGTCAGTCATGGAAAAGCTGCTACTACAGGCGGGCCATACACCAGTTAAATCAATAGTTCACCCAAAAATGATCGTTTGCTGAAAATGTGTTCACCCTCAGGCTAAGATCAGGATGAGTTTGTTTCTTCATCAGGTTTGTAGAAATGTAGCATTGCATCAGTGTCTCAGCAATGGATGCTCTGCAGTGAATGCAGAAAAAATAGAGGGCTCATATTTGAGCCAGAAACAATGGTTTGAAGTTAAAAACATGATAAAAATGTCTGAATGCTGGATTTGTTTCAGCTTTTGTCTTCTCCAGATGTTAACTGATGGACTGGAGTGCTGTGGATTACTTGTGGATTATTGTGATGTTTTTATCAGCTGTTTGGACTCTCATTCTGACGGCACCCATTCACTGCAGAGCATCCATTGCTGAGACACTGATGCAATGCTACATTTCTCCAAACCTGATGAAGAGACAAACTCATCCTGATCTTGTGATGAACTGAGGGTGAGCACATTTACAGCACATTGTCATTTTTGGATAAACTATTCTTTTAAAAACATACTGGTAGTAATTTGCTAACAGTTATACATTTTTCAGCGCATTTAAATAATATTTTACCAATTTTTGTCTTTATCTGAGTTGTGAATGTGAGTTTTCAGTCTGAACAAAATGTGATAAATTGTGATAAAAAAATATCAACAAAACATGAGACACAAGAAAATGAATTCAGGGTTTACTGGCTTGACAGAATGAACTAAATCAACATCTGACTCAAGAACTGAACTTAAGTTATCATTATTTTCAATAAATAAGACGCCTCATTGCTTACATGAAACAGCAGAAATTCACATTCAGAAATTCATCAAATATGTGTATACTTTGGAAATGACCATAAAGCCCATTGTTTTTTTCAGCACTTTAGGGGGCTTTCACACTAGCACTTTTGGTGCAAACTCGTGTTTGTTTGGATAATGTGAACGCTGTTTTCTGAACTGTGCCCGAGTCCGCCTAAACAGCGTGGTGTGGGGTACAGTTCACTTCTGATGTGAACGCAATCATGGAAGTGAGCCGCAATTCATAACGTATGAACTGGTCAGACTGTGTATTTATGTGTTTACTCACTCGCTTTCCTGATAAGCGTGACTGACGCACTGCAAGCATAGAGAATTTAATTTCTGCTCGCAGAAACTGATTGCTGCGTTCTTTTGAACCTTTGCATTACAGTCATGACAAATAGACGCATGTACCGCTCTGCGTTGCCGCTTTGGAAACTAACATAAATTTTCAAATTCCAAAGTACACAAATGAAGCGAGCAGGCATCCATTCACTTACTGTCTTCTGCACAGTCGTTACCTAGCAACAGGTGGAGCCATCGATCTCGGTTCGGACCCGGCAATCGAACCAAGTGTGAAAGCACCCTTAAAAATCATGATGAATATTGCTGCTTATTATCGCCCACCTCTAGCTGTGATACGACTGCCAGCAGACGGTGTTATGATGTTAGCAGGTATAATATTGCTGCTTATGTAACACGTCATCTGACCATAAGGGTCACAGTGGTCACACATAGCTTCTCACCAGGAACCAGATGCCGAACTGACTGAGCAGTCTCTGGTCGTGCTGGTCGTCCTCTTTGTTGTCAAACTCCATGTTGTCCAGGGAATGATGGGATGAAGACAGACCCATCTGACGGCGGCGGTTCAGCTCAAACTCCCGCAGCTCCGCGTGGATCTCAGCCTCTTTCAGCAGACTGCGGCGGGCGACAGTGACATTACATCTCACTGATTAATGCTTATTTCATATTAACATACTGTATATGTTATTCAATTTAACACATGCTGACAAAGAGTGAATCAGCATATTAGAATGATTTCTGAAGATCATGTGACCACTGAAGACTGGAGTAATGATGCTGAAAATTCAGCTTTGATAATAAATGAATAAATAACTAAATACATTACATAAATGCAGCTTTCGTGAGCAGAAGAGACTTCTTTCAAAAACCGGTTCAGCTCAAACTCCCGCAGCTCCGCGTGGATCTCAGCCTCTTTCAGCAGACTGCGGCGGGCGACAGTGACATTACATCTCACTGATTAATGCTTATTTCATATTAACATACTGTATATGTTATTCAATTCAACACATGCTGACAAAGAGTGAATCAGCATATTAGAGTGATTTCTGAAGATCATGTGACACTGAAGACTGGAGTAATGATGCTGAAAATTCAGCTTTGATAATAAATGAATAAATAACTAAATACATTACATAAATGCAGCTTTCGTGAGCAGAAGAGACTTCTTTCAAAAACATTTAAAAATCTTAATTATTACAAACGTTTGGCTGCCAGTGAATTAGTATTTTTATATCGAATGTGTCTTATTCACATCCAGTTTTGTCAAGAGTATTTTTACTGCAGTTTTTGGACCTGGTGAGACTCAGTTTCCTAACAGCATTGTTTCTGTCTGACATTATGAAAGAAAATCCTGAACTGAAAGTCCTCTTAATGAAGGGAGCATGTAACCAGGCGGTGGCGCCACACCTGATCACCGCCTCCACGGTGCACACCAGCTCCTCCGCGGCGCACTCGCGCGTGTTGATGGGCGGAGGAGACGTCTGGTACAGATGCGTCTCCGCTGACGCCCCCACCTCGCTGCTGTGGTGGTTGACATGACAACGCTTGCAGTAGCGCACAGGCCGGTTGCCGTGGCGACCGCAGCATCCCGCTGAGAAGCAGGTGACGATGGCGCGCCTGACGTGAGAGCTGCAGTTCTGTGACAGAGAGACGGATGAGAGGAAGAGATGGTCAACGAAGGGACGAGAACGACACAAACACACGTAATGAGCAGGACAGAGCGATTGTTCCCTGTAGCGTCTTCAGCCTTCACTTCAGAAACTCAGTAACAATGGCAATCTGATCGGCTGCAGAGGAAAATGTGGAGCAGGTGACAGAAACTGGCTCTTCATTTGTACAGCATTTATAGATGAGATGTGCTAGTTCACAGATGAGCTGATAATGGATGACCTAAAGATGATGACATGGGCACACACACACACACACACACACACACACACACACACACACACACACACACACACA